TCCCGCTACTTCCCAGCCCTGTGCATTCTGCCCTGACACCTGCGTACTGCTGTACCTTCCCCTTCCCTTCTTCCTACTGATGCCGCACCACGGCACAGTAATTCTGTGTTGATGATGGCAACACTAGTTCTGATTTCCCTCTTCTGCTCCACATCCACCCTGTGAAGCGCACAGAGATATCTTCACTCAGATGGTCTGCTTCCATTCCGCACACCGCACCCACTCCCCCTCCAAGGCACTCCCACTCCTGACTCCCCTGTTCTACAACAGCACCCCCCACCTTCCTGGTACCTCCCAGTGGTCAAGCCTGTCGGTCCTCCACAATGTCCTTCATTTCACCACTACCTGCCACTGTTTTCACTCCCATGGTTAACTTCTTGCTTTTGCCTACTCATTATTAAACCAGCCCTCCAAATGATCACTTAAGACTGTCAAATTAATCATCTCAAGGCACAAACCCACATCTGCTATTCCTATTACAAGCCACCTGAACTGCATTTGTGCACCCATGGTCATAGCAGTGTCACTCACAACAGCCAAAAGGAGGGAGCAAACCAAGCATCCCTTGGTGAATGTGGTGCACACACACAGCGTGAACGCTGGTCAGCTTTTCAGAGACGGAAATTCTAACCCTGCTACATCTCTGGCCTTACTTCTCGGCAACTCCACTACAGAGTTCAGAGCACTATTAGCTCAATGACATTATGCATGTGTAAAGCAAAATTAGGACTTCTCAAGGTGTGAATTCTTTTGCTTTGTGACATTGCAAAAGGGCACTGAAACAAACAACTTAAAACAATTTGCTCAATTAAATTATTCTTACATTGAAAAGACTTAGCGGCTTAACAGGATACTTACAGTAAAAAAAGATGTCCCACAAAAGCGCGTACATATTCCTCGTACAAAACCTTCATGTGCTTGTATTGTGCGGATACATTTTCGGTTAGTCAGGTTCCATATTTTAACCTATAATAAAGCATATCAGGAAATATCAGTGACCTATAAATATCAAGTGTTCACATACAGGAGTATTAACTACATTTAAAGAAAAAGAAATCAACAATGAAAAGGATTTATAGCCTATAAATCACTCTATCAGGCAGCCAGAAACAAAATCCTTTGGGTTAAAATAATGTAACATGCCAGGTGTGGTGGCATACACCTGTAATCCCAACACTTGGGAGGCTGACGCAGGAGGATTATCATAAATTAGAGGCCAGGCTGAGCTACATAGTAAGTTCAAGACCACGCTGGACTACACAATGAGACCCTGTCTCAAAAAAAGAAAAAATATGGATAAATATGCCAATAAATATGCCAACAAGCAGGAAACTCCATCTATAAACTTAAGATAAACTGTTTACTCCAATGTGACATATTTCAGCCAGAATGGTATACACCTGTAATCCCAGCACAGGGAGGATATGGTAGGAGGATCACTGTAAGTTAGATGGCACCCTGTGCATAGTGAGTTCAATGCCAGCCTAAGCTACATAGTGAGACCCCTACCCTCAAAAAAGTATTTCAAAGCCTCTGGTAATTTCCTTACCAGAGAAATTAAGTGTTGAATCACTAATACCATCCTGAAAAAACTCACCTAAATACCTTTATTATAAAATAAATACATTTATTTACTATAAAAAAGATCATTAAGCTACTTATAATTTGTTAGAGTTAAATAAAAAAACTACTAAATATTCTTTCAAACAGAACTGAGTCTGGAGAATTAAACTGAAATCAAAGTAAAAGTAAAAGAAAAACATTTGCAACACAACACCCTTTAAAGTACTGTATCAAGATGAAGGTGACACTTGCCTCTCCATCACACGCCCCAGAAAGGACCGTAGCCAGGCTCTTGGGATGCTTTGCCAGGCAATTGACTCCATCTCGGTGCCCATCCAGGGAAGCAAGGAAGGGCTTTGCAAATACACGCTCCAGCTTGGTAGCATTCAAAGCTCTTATATATTCTCGTGGGACCTCAAAAGGATGTAACGTAGGATCATAGTTTCTTGGAACTGAAAAAGAATAATCCCTCTTAACAAAATAATTCACATTTACTGTTTACTACAGACCTTTAGCTAACCACTTAAAGTGTAATTTGTTAGTCAATCAAAGACAGTTTGATGTCTAACACTATAAACAATACAGAAGTATCACGGGATGCATATACCTCATTAAAATAAACTAACTACAAACCCTTTCCACATGTTCACAACTTTATTCATTTGCACACTTCATGCTTAGCACAGTGCCTGGCAAGGGGATGACAATCATGTACTTGACTGAACTGTAAACAACTTGTGGAGTGGGAACAACCCTTAGTCTCTGGTCTAAACATGGAAATAAGCTCTCAATGTTGGGATGATGTTTGTGTTATGTAACTACTCTCTCGTGGACACATTCCATATTTATTTACTTCCTTAAAAAACACAGAATTTCGCAGGTTCCAGGCACTCTTCCAAACACCTCACATTAATTCCTTTAATCTCTGTAATGCCCTCTGAGTTACGTTCCATTACAATCTCCTGCATTACAGAGGGGATACAGGAACAAAGAGGGTAGGTAACTTGCAGGGAACCAGATTCAAACCAATGCAATCTGGCTCCGCAAGCCACATTCCTAACTGTTCTGTCAAACGTGTCTCAGTTAACAATAACGCTTAGGAAAGAGCCCTAAACCCACACTAAAAAGAATCAAATGTATTAAAAAGTACATGCATCTTCTTACCCCCCAACTTCATCCTGTTATTTCTACTAACTCCTATCAATGGTACATTACGCCCACCATGCAATAAAGGCCACTCTGGTCATTTTTATGAACTTCAATATTCCCCAATACTAATAAATAAAAATTGTTTCTAAAATAAATTTTAAAACACACACACACACACACACACACACAGACTGAAATTCTAATTGTTTTTTCCAAACTGAAATAACCTAAACCTGCCAGGTTAGACTTCTAACCTAGGAATAAAGCTCCTTTCTGGTCTTTCACCATCTGGCTCCCACTTACCTCCTCAGTTTCAAGTCCTTTCTGAAGCTTAGTTCCAGCCAAACAGGTTTATTTCCTAGTCTTCAGTTCTTTTACATGCCATTTCCTTCATCAAGAACTTAGTCCAGTATTCACTCTATTTTATTTAACCCTATGCACTACTTAATATTGTTTGAATCTTATGGTTTTTCAGATCATACTGAGATCATGCCTATCTCTAAATTCATATATCCAGCCAGCAACATTCATTCAACTAACATGGGCAAAGTACCTGCCATACATCACAAGCACCGAGGACATCAAAGTTAAATTCAGAGGACATCGCAGTTAATAAATTCATTGCATGTATTTACGTGGAGTCTTCTCATATATACATCAAAACTACCAAGGGAGTTTTAAAAACACAAGATTCCCCCCCCCCATGCTTACCCCAAGTATATGAGCAGTGCATAAAATTTACAAGGAAGTACCTTAGACAGAAGAATCTTTAATTCTTCTAATTAATCTAAAATAAGTGTCTTGTTTATTTTATTTTACAGCGCTCCAAAGCTTTTGCTATCTACTGAAACACCCACCAGAAAGTATAATAAGATCAGGATCCTAACACTGAGATTCAATGACCACCAAGTAATCTACTCTTCAATCATCCATCCATTCATAAAGCTGTATGTCAGGTATTATTCAAGCACAGTGCACACACAAATTATTTTTCCCCTCTTTGTAAGCTCAGTGTCACGGGGAAGACTTAACCACAATAATAATCACAAGATAATACGATTAAACACTCTCATGATAATATAAAAATACGTGATGGAAGCCTAAAAGAGAGACGCTGAGGTGGAGAGGGCCCAGTAAGTACGGGAAGATTATTGTTTCCTAGATACAGCAGCTAACTGGGTAAGGGTGTGTGCCGTGGGAATCCTCAAGTACAACCATAACAGCAACCGCTACCTGCAGTAAGCTGCTGTGGGAGACGGAGAGATTGGTGAAACTGGAAATGAGGAAGGGACCACAGGTTCAATGACTAGGGATGCTATCAAGTCCAAGTGACAAATCGATCTGCGTTTTAGAAACATTACTGTCATGCTGCTTACCCTAGAAACATCTTGGGAGCCACACCACACGTCTAGGGCTCAACAATGCTCAATATCTCCACTCATCAAGAGTGAAACTCGGTCCTAGCCCCTTGCTCTGCCCTCATTTAAACTCTGAACACACTCTGGCCTCGAGGCCTTCTCAACTCTCGTTCTCTGTTCACACAGAGCTGGACCCTGTCACTTGGGTCGCACTTGGGTTGCACGAACTTTAACTCCCAAGCGGCAGGCATGTTCACGAAGGGACAGACTGACAAGGAGAAATGAAACTCATTTCACTCATTCTCCAAGATAAAGTTACATCTTTATTTCGTCCCAGATTGAGAATATGAAGTAGTTAAATGACAAAGCACCAGGTAAGAAAATTTAAAGAAGACTGTTTCATACTTAAGCCCTTCAGCTCATGAGTCCGGCTCATTCAAGTTCCACTCCAACCACGGGAACGCGAAGGCCCTCGGAGGACAGCAGACCACAGTAAGAGTGGTGACCACAGCTCGCCCGGGCTCCACCCGCAGGCTGGAGCCCGTGGAAACCGAGGCCACCCCGGGGCCCGCGGCAGGCGCCCCTTCCTGCCAACCTGTCTCACCTCTCTGCAAGTCCAACTTGGTTTCGCGGACATAGTTGTCCGGGTTCCGGCTCAGCATCTTCACCTTCATCTTGGCAACTCTTCCTCACAACACGAGTCACGCCTTCTCCGCTGGCGCGGCTGCCGCCTGTCTCACACTCGACTTCCGTCTCTCACAGATGACTTCCTGTCACGTGACGCCTGCCGGCTTGAATGATCCCCTCGGCGCTCCGTAGCTCGGGCGGCCATGCTTGCAGGGAGCGGCCCTCTGGCCGCGCCGCCGCAGTATGGCGGAGGGAGGGGGGCGGGGACGCGGGGACGCGGCGTGATTCGCGACCGTGCCCCCGGCACGGTCCTGGCACTGAGGTCTTTCCCTCGGTCCCAGCACTCGGCCTCAGCGTTTTCTAGGCCGCCGCCGCGGAAGTGGCTCCTGCAGCGTCCTGCTCTAGGGCTGCAACCTCCGCCACAGTGGCGGCCACGGCGTCTCGCCCCGCCTCGGCGGCGGTGGGCGCCGTGGTATCCGCGGGTCCCGAGCCCATGACGGGCCAGGGGCAGTCGGCGCCCAGCGCATCCACGTGGGGCGCGCTGTTCCGCCACGTCCGCTACGAGAACCTGGTGGCCGGCGTGAGCGGCGGCGTTCTGTCCAACCTGGCGCTGCACCCGCTGGACCTCGTGAAGATCCGCTTCGCTGGTGAGCCCTCGCTGGCCGCCCGGCCCCCGGAGCGGGCCTTGGGTCGGGGACTCCCGGGGAGATCACAATCGATGGCGGAAGGGAAGGGACTCCCGAGGCCCCGGGACACCCTGGGACAGCCACGTGCTAGGGTGGCGCGCAGACCCGCCGTGGTTGGGCGGGTTCGCATGGGTTTCTCTTGAAAGTTTCTGCAACTTTTTGCGTTCACAGTGTGTTGCCAGTGCCGTGAAGGGAGTGGTAGAACTTAAATAGTTTGTTTTTTTCTAAGCCTATAACGTGATGTTAAAGTTAGCAAAGCACTTTAGAACCCAAACTCAACAGGTGATTCTGGAAAAGATATTTTGCGAGATGTTCTTTGTAAACTTTTGAGGTTTTTCATTTATTACTACAAGTTAAGTTCTGCCAGAAGTAAAATCTACAGAAATGATGTATCTTCAGAGTGAAATAATTCAGTTTACATGCTATATGTCTCTTGATGTTTGCAGACTGTTACCTGGACTGCTAAAGTGTCTACCAAAATTCTTCCCCTCAAGGCACTCATAATTTAGTTGTAGACTTAAGATGTAGCCATAAAAAGATAATTCCAGGCAACATAAAATCTCTCTCTCTCTCTCTCTCTCTCTCTCTCTCTCTCTGTCTGACAGGACACTTGGCGTGGGGGAATATAAATAGCCTAAGCTTAGGGCAGTGCCCTAAGGCCATTAGAGATGTATAGGTATTTCATTGGCGCACAGGTTTAGCGCCAGAAAGCAGGTTCCTAGGGAGGGGGTATTGGGTTACAGTCAAGTCTATAGGGGACGGGGGGCGGAGTTTCTAACTTAGCTGCAGCCTTTCCTGGTTACAGTGTTCGGTATCCTTGAGTATTATTACTTTATATAAATAAGGTTAACAAATGTTGATTAACTTGCCAAGTCAGAAGTTTATAAAGATGGATCTGGGGTTTGAACTCAGGCAGTCTAACTTTAGTTTAATTCCAGCGTTCATGCTTGTAAATTGCCTATAGTGGGTGAGTTGCTTTGTTGCTTTGTATTTAGAATGCTTAGGAAGTGACTAGGTCTGAGAGGTGTCTTCCAGGTGTAGCTGGTTTCTGGGTTTGAAGTCTGTTCCAAGAGCCTACCTCTTCAATTTGTTGGGGATGAGAAGTTTCTGCCTGCTTGGCCCGGTCCCTGGTTCTTTGGGTCTGGCCCAGTATTTTCTATGATTTCTAAGCCATCTCAGTCTTGATATACCAGAAAAAAGAGCTGGGTAGAACCATTATGTTACTTTGGCTAAGGTGATATAATCAGCAGTAGCAATAGGATCAAACACAACCTAGAAAATGACAAACTGAGGTGCTTATTAATTTACCACTAGTAAGCATATGAACTAAATTTATGGTTATATAACAAATCTAAAACCCCAAAATTGTATGCAGTTAATAAGCCCTCAGTATGCCCTTAGGGAGAAAATTTTTAAAAGAGGTTAGGGGAAAAAAAGCAGAGAAATAGAAGAAGAGGAAGAGATTAGAAACAATGCCGGAGAACAAAGGAGGATCATGCAGACTTTGAAACTGGTGCAAAAGATAGCAGAAAAAGAGAGAAGGAAGAAATAAAAAGAACAGAACAACCTCCTCAAAGAAACTAGAAACCATGTTAACACTCATAAAACCAAGATCAAACAATAAAGGAGAGAAAAAAGTCCACTTCCAAGGTTGTCTGTGCTGTACTGGTGGACGGTATGTGGAAACAAAGTTCAGATCTGTGTTGATTTAACCCAGTAAACCAGCAGTAGCTTTATGGCAGAGTAGTGGATAATCTCAGCAAGCCTGTACCTTTATTTTCCCTGAACTTCAGGCTGGTTTCTGGCCATGAGGCTGGGACTAGACCCCTTCAACCTGCAGCCATCAGCTCGCCTTCTGCCAGCTGGAACTCTGCTGAGCTGGGAGCTACTAGATGGATCCAGCAGCTGTTTTGAGTCCTGAGGTTGATTGGCCCCTCTCCAAGGTGGTGCCTGGCCAGTTGCCCTCTCCCATGAGATGTCCCACCGTAGTCCTCCACGTGCACTGTTCCCTTCCACAGCTTTGTCTCTGTGGAGGCCTCTGGGGTTGCCAGCAGTCACCAAGTGTCCACAGTTTTGAACCCTTCCCCCCACACAGTGAGTCCTGACTTGGTGGGGGGCTTTGCTGGCCACCTTCTGCATTGAGTTTTCCCTCTTTGCTTTCTCTGTGGGCTTCAGTTCCTGCTTCACATCCTTCCTAGGTACAGGAGACCCACTTCCCTCCTTCTGTTCCTTAGGTTGCTATGTTCCAGGGTCTGGGTGACAACTCCCAGAGAAGCCCTTTCTGTGCTCCTCTCCACGCCCCCATCTTCCCGGAAGTCTCCAGACTGTCTAACTTTAGACTCTAGCATTTAGTTCACTCACCATACTACTACGAGTTTCAAGAATGCATTGGCTGAACGCAGATAAAAGGGTTGTGGCCTTGGCAGTGGACGTGGACCTGTGTGCACTGATGTCTGTCTTCAGCAGCTGTGTGGAAGAGGTGGCAGCTGAGTCATCATTGAAGAACAGCGTGGATGGCCTGGCGGGTTAAGACAGTGCTGGGGCAGACTGTCTGAGGAAAGGGAATTCCTGGTACCTAGGTAGGTTGGTTATCTCGTGAAGACAGAAGTACTGTCTTGAGAAACTGCTAAGATTGAGGTGAGGGGTTGAGATTGCAGAGAAGGCCTTGAGGGAAGAATATAGAAAGAAAACAGAATATGACTAAGTGTGTAATGTTAGTTGAAGAACCAAAGTGCACTGCCCAGTTACATGATCAGTTCTGTATGTATGCGATAGTGTAAGACCCAGTGGCATAGTTCAAGAAATCCCAGTGGGATTCTAGGGTCTTATGTGTTGGTTTTGTGGTGCTGGGTGCTGAATCCAGGGCCTCACACATGCTGGGTGAGTGCTTTACCGCTGATGAACACCTCGCTTTGCATGTATTAACTCATTTAATCTTTTGTGACTTTAGAGTTAAATTCTATTATTTTTCCCACCTTATGGATGAGAAATCTTAAGACACAGCATATCTGAGTAAAGTCACATGATAATCATTGGGCCCAGAAAGTCTGATTCTGTAGCATGTGCAGTTTGAAGCCATGAGTGATTAGTGTATTTAAAAGGAGAATTAAATATTCCAGAAAGTTGAAAATCAGGCACCAGAGATTGAACACAGGTCCTCTTGCGTGCTGGGCAGGCCCTGAACACACCCCTCAACCCCAGCAGCTGCCAGATTGTGAGGCCTGTTTTGGGCCGTGTAAAAGCAACGTCAGGGAGGTGATTAGGCCGAGTGGTGCAGGAGCGGGTGCTCAGGCAGTGAGAGAGGTGCTCAGTGGCCTAGAGGCCACCCTTGTTGGGCTGAAAGAGCGCCTGTAAAAACAACATTTAAGGTGCTCAGAGGAAAAGGAGGCCAAGGAAATTGAGTGGCAAAGAGGAAAAAAGGAAGATTTGTGGAGCAAGCCAAGAGAAAGGCACTTTAAAAGACAAACAGTGTCAGCTGCCACGCAGACGACTCCCTGAGGGCCCTTGGAGAGTCCTTAACTGGAGCACTTGGGGATGGTGAGGTCCAGGCCAGGCTGCAGGGTAGGGGAGAAAGTCGGTTGTGGTTTCTTGTTCGTGGAAACGTAACCGGTGGCGAGGCACTGGGAGCGGCCTACGCCAGGTCCTTTCCCATGTTCACGAGAAAGAGCAGGAGCAAGCAGGAGATGGAAGACGGACACAGTAAGATGGAGAGTGAGGGTTCCAGGTAGAGGCCAGGGAACCAAGGGTCCGCGGCGTCTCCAGGTGCCTTGGCCGGAAACCTCTGCAGGCAGCAGATTGAACCTTCGCTGTTTGCTCATACACACGCGTTACCGAGTGGCAGTTTCTTGGCACAGCACTCGTTCTTTGTATTTGTGATCTCATTTATATTTGTCTTCCGTCTGTGTTTTAAATTAAATAATATTATCTATCTGCTCAGTTGATGTTTGTTACCCATCTGTGGTTTTCAAAATGTCGTTAATAGAGCACAGGCGAGGGGATTGTTTTCTTAAAGAAAGGAGACAGGTTCACTGGTGGTGGAGGGACGGTGCGCACCCAGCAGCTCCAGCGGCGGGGAGGGTGCGGTGTCGTCTTCCAGGCCAGCGTGTGCCTTCCCCTTCACAACGGCTCTTTCCCCCACACCAAGCTTGCTCCTCTCCATTCCGGTCTTTTGGCATCTTGTGCTGTCTCCGGCCGTTTCCACGGTGATGGGAGGGTACTGAGGTGTGCGGACTAACTTTTCGTGGGCAGACATGTTTAAGACAATTATAAAGCTTTTTGGACTTTATAGCAATTTTAACCTGACAGTAAGGGAACCCTAATTGGGGTCCTCTTCAGTTCAGTACATTCTTTTCCCCCAGTAAGTTCTTCACCTTCCGGTTCTTTCTACTTTGGGACACCAGTGTTTCTTTTCTAAAACATGTATTGATTACTTTAGGTAAAAGCCAAGTGTACCTTAATCTCATTTAATGTGGTTACATGTGTCAGTTTAATGGCAAGAAGCTGAACTCCCCTCTTTGCCTGACGAGCAGCTGGCGTTTCTCCGCCAGGCTCTGTTACCCCGATCAAGCAGAGCAAGCCGACCGGGGGTTGAGTTGTGTGTGGCCGCGGGCCACAACCTGTATAGCTGTTCTGGAGGCAGTTGCAGTGTGTATTTGTAACTGAATTATGTGCTTTGACCGGATCAGTTCCCTTCTCACAGCTAATTCTAGGACAAATCGTTGTACAGATACTCTGTTAAATAATGTTTTATAATAGCAAGCAAATAAAGCCCCCCAATATCAAGTAAGAGAAATCATTGTATACATGATAAGTTATCTGAGGTGAAAAAATACATTTTTAAATGTCTTTTTTTGGGGGGGGGAATTATTTATACCAAGGAAGAATGCTTAGAACTCCTCTTGAGTAAGAGGAAAACATAAAATAGTAATTAGGTATCATATAGGATAATGTCTGCTGCTGAGATACTTAATACACCTAAGATTAAATAACTTCTCAAACACTGAAGACATCATTGATACTGTGCTGTTCCTTGTGGCTTTCCCACAACACCCGGCTTTGTAACCAGACCTTTCAGCTGCCCTCTCACCCTAGAGTCTCCTGGCTCCGGTTTCCTAGGAAACGTGGAATGAAGAGGGTGCCAAAGGGTGACCTAGAGTGTATTTTTTTACAAGCTGTCAGAACTGCTTTTTTTTGCCGTGCTGCTTGGAGATTGATGGTGCGCTAAGCGGGAAGAAGGCAGGGGTAGGAGGTGGACCAATCGGAGACGCAGAGTCAGAGGGGCACGTTGGGGGGTAGAGACGGAGGACACCTGTGGGTACCCGTGTCTGTGGCACCCGAGGAGATGGTGGAGATGTTCTGCCGAGAGCAGTAGAGTAAGAGCGGCTGGGGAGGGATGGGAAATCTTGTTCGGTCTGAGCTGGCCTGGGGTGTGTGCCGTCCCCTTCTGTGTCCACCCGCGTGTTTCCCAAGCACGGGGACTAGTGAGCGGCCTGGCAAGGAAACAGGTGTACCCCCCGCCCCTCACTGTCTTTCCAGTCACTCTCTAGGTCTTGTTAGTGTTTTGGGGGTTCCTGGCTAGTTTGTTTTTTGCATAATACATTTTGAAACTTGAATCCTTAATCTTAAAAGTGACAAAAGTAAAATTTAAGTGTTGAAATCTGTTTGCCTGAGAGACTTGGGTTACCTAAGAGCTCATCCAGGACGTGCTAAAATATTAAGGGCTTACATGTCTGATTATGTAACCTCTGTGTTTGTGCATGACGCCGAGCTGGAACTTTGCTCTCTCCTAATTCTTTGTGTCTTTCAATGCAGTGAGCGATGGATTGGAACTGAGACCACAATATAAAGGGATTCTCCACTGCTTGGCTACCATTTGGAAACTTGATGGACTGCGGGGACTTTATCAAGGAGTCACCCCAAATGTGTGGGGCGCAGGCTTATCCTGGGGCCTCTACTTCCTCTTGTGAGTTGAACTGGGAAATTTCATGGTATCAAATAAAAGCAAATTCTTGTTTTGAGTGTGAAGAAAGTTGAGTCAGTCGGCACTTCTGAGTTGGAAGCGTCAGCAGACTGGCCCTGGTTTCTGAAACTGCCGGTTATCAGAGGCCTCTGGCCGATAGGACAGTTTGTAATAGGAGGTGGTGAGGGGATGAGACGGAGAGAGCCTTCCGGGGCGGTTTCCAAGAACTCAGGGAGGCAGGGTCTTTAACACGACTTTCCTAACCTCAGTCCTCATAGCTTAGAGGGAGAACTTCTAGTTAAAGCTGTTTGGAAAAGAGCAGAATCTGGATAATTCACAGTAAAGTTGTGGGCCCCTGCAGGAGTAAAGTACACTTGGCTTTTACCTAAAATAAACAGCATGTTTTGGCACTTTCATTACTGTTCAGCCAAAATAGACTGAAAACATCAAATAAGCCAGTTGCTTACTAATCAGCAGTTTTCTAAGTGCTGTGGCAACTAGAAAAACCTGAAACTCTAAAATGAATCCAATGAATTTCATTTCTCTTTGGTATCCATTCTTTCTCCATTTTATAAGAAATTAGTTCTAGAGTGCCCCCCAGAGAGAACATTTGCTGAGTCCTGAAATACGGGGAGGAGCTGCTCGTTCCTCCTTGCCTGGAATGTCTGAGCTGGCCTGGAGAAAGGCACTTTGTCGCAGAGAAGTGACAGGTGCAGGACACAGGCCTTGGGGTCCTCATGGGCACACAAGCGTGGGGCCTTCTTTGGGGATCTGAGCGGAGGCCAGGGTGTCACAGCAAGCCTTGTTGCTTGTACCTGCTCTGTCGCCTCCCCCTGCTTTCATGTTAGGCAGCAGTGTCACTGCAGGAAGTGCTGTGATGTATCTGTCCTAAGTTATGGCAGTGGCCAGACCAGTTCTAAAGTACTTTTAGGTGAAGGCAAAATAAAACTCAGCCTTAGTATTTAAATATTTTTCTTACTGTCTCGTCAGACACGCAGAGGTGAACTATACATACATGTCCCCTACACACACTATGCAGTGTTCTGCAAGTCTGAGGCTGGAGAGCTCCTGAGTTTTTAAGGACAGACTCTCAGAAAAGGAGGCTTGTGTGGTGAGAAGTCTTATAACCAGTTTCTTAGAGTGGTATTGGGAACATTTGACAAGATGAGTAGTCCCAGGCCTGTTCCGGCATCCAAGAGGCTGAGGCAGGCGAATCCCAGGGCTGATGTTGCCAACTGGCTGTCGCTGTCACCACCCTCATGTCCTTTCTCAGTGTGTCTGCACATCCACACCCCTCTGGGTGCCGCCTCCCGCATCCGAGACCTCAGCCGAGGTGCTGTCAGGACACTGTGTGGTCTCTGCTAGGATTGTGTGTGTGCCAGCGGCTGCCCTTGGGAGGGAAGCTCTGCGGCAGGTTCTGGCCTCCTGTGGGCAGGCAGAGACGCCCAGCACAGGCCCGCGGCGCTCAGCCTCGGCACCAGCTCTTGGGCATCTGCGCTGCCTCCCAGGCTGTGCCACCCACGCCCCCACCTTCTCCCGGCCTCCTGCGTGGCAGGCGGAGCGGAGCTGCCTTCCAGGAAACCATGTGTGGCCGTCCCTTCTGCAGTGAGGGGCTTGTCTGTCACTGGCATACACAGCCACTTTTACTTCGCTGTTGGGTACGCTCTAAAATGGACTTTCCTTACACTTACGTTGCTCGTGTCTCATCCTCCTAGTTACAACGCCATTAAGTCCTATAAGACCGAGGGGAGATCCGAACGGCTGGAGGCCACGGAGTATCTCATCTCCGCTGCGGAGGCTGGTAAGGCAGCAGGAAGCACGCCACCTTCCGAGCTGGAGTTCTGCTTTTTTTTTTTTTTTTTTTTTTGTCTTCTTGAGACAGGGTCTCGCTGTGCACTTCAGGCTGGTCTCCAGCTCACAACGATCCTCCCACCTCAGCCTCCCGAGTGCTGGGATTACAGGTGTTGCTTTTATATTTTTTTCAGCACCAAACCTTAAGTAATCTTATCTAATTATATTAGTTACCACATGAAGTGTCTTAGAAAACAGGTATTCTTATTGATCACTCTTGGTTTCAAAAATTTTACTCAAGCCCAGCAGTGCAGGAGATTGAGGCAGAAGGACAAAAGCTTGAACTTAGAGAGGCCTCAAACTAATAGAGGGCGAAGGAAAGGCCCTGGGCTCTGTCCCTGTTAGCACAAAAGGAGTGGTGGTAGAAAACGTAGGAACGTTTTGAATCTAACACTTGAAGACGATTTGGTGTAGCATCCTTTAAGTGTAGTTTCTGTTTTTACATTATGCAATACAGTAGTCTTGCTTCATTGCCTTTTATATGTGTGCCATCCAGGAGGAAGAACAAAGTAAGACTCATGAGCTCCTGGAAATCCTCCTTCCATGTCTTGGTTTTCTAGTGTTTACAGATTGATTTTAAAGTAAGAGCTGCCCTCAGTTTTAATTCCTAGCTGCTACCAAAGACTGAAATCAGAACAGGATTCAGTAAATACTTGTTGAATAAATCTTTCCTTAGGAAACTCAGTAAATAAGACACTTATCTAGTTGAGATTGTTTTTTATAAAGTTGCCACTCTCTGTAAAGATTCACTGCATTGCCTTGTTGGTTCGTGAGGGTCTGTGGCCACTGAGAATGGTGTCACGGAGATGCTGTGACGTGTGCAGGTCCAGAGCCGTGTCCTCTTGTCCTCTCCTGAGTCATCACATCACCTCCTACACGTTAGTGTGTCTGTGGCCCTGTCTGCATCAGGCCACCGCGTGGGAGCCAGGCAGCCCTGTCATCCACACCTCAGCAGGCCGGAGGTGCACACTCCCATCTCGGTCTCACTCACCTCGCCCATCCACATGCAGAGTTTGTGACCCCAAAACTGCGCCCGCTGGAGCCTGTTCGGAGTCTCATAGCTCCAGACGCAGCAGTCATGTGCCCTCAGACTTTGTGTAATGGACTTTTCCTGATGGGGTCGAGTGACCAGATACCTGTGTACTGAGTCGTGGTGCTTAATTCTGATTTTAGGAGCCATGACCCTCTGCATCACCAACCCGCTGTGGGTAACAAAAACGCGCCTGATGTTACAGTACGATGGTGTTAACTCCGCACAGCGACAGTATAAAGGAATGTTTGACGCACTTGTGAAAATCTATAAATGCGAAGGTGTGCGTGGATTGTACAAGGTAACGAATTATCATCAGTAGGCTTTGGAGAGCTGGAAATTGGAGTTTCTGTTGGTGCTATTGTCTCACTGTATCCTTAAAAAATGCCAAAGGTAGGCAAGACACAACGTAATGAAAACACATCAGGTCGGCAGTGTTGGAATTTCACCTTCAGGTGCTCTCACTACTGTAGATGTGTCAGCCTGACCCTAACAGTAGGAGAGCTGTCTGAACCCTGCTGGGTATCTTCAGTAGGTCAGGAGAGGCGACCAGCGACTCTAACAGGATCTCGTCTTATTGGGGATTTTGTTCATCTCAAACCTTAGTCCCTAAATCACAACCAAAACCCCAGCTCCTTGCTATTGTGGTAGTTCTGAAATTTCTTTCTTCTTCTTCTTCTTCTTCTTCTTCTTCTTCTTCTTCCTCTTCCTCTTCCTCTTCCTCTTCCTCTTCCTCCTCCTCTTTCTCATTTTCGTCTTCTGTTTCTGCTGCTGCTTCTTCTTCTTCTTCTTCTTCTGCTTCTGCTTCTTCTTCTTCTGCTGCTGCTGCTTCTTCAGTACTGGAATTCTAACTTAGGGCTTTGCACTTGCCAGGCAGGCGCTGTGCTGCTGAGCTAATCCCCGGCCCTGAAATTTCTTCCTAGTGGTAGTAAGCCCTGTTTGGTGATTTATGACTCCTTTTTCTCCCCGTTTGCCACTTTTGTACCTTCCACTCACACCTCATGCTTATCCCAGAGTTTAAAATGAAAAGAAGTCTCACTGACGTTCAGTGTGTTTTCAGCTAACACGCAGTGGCTTTTAAAATTGGGGACTCACTACCCGGGGGCCAAAGTGTAGAGTGAGTCACTGCTGTGTGTCTCTTTCATCGGTTGTCTGTGCTCTAGACAGCCTTGTTCAGGGCACTGAACTGTTACTGTTATTCCTCATGCGCTCTTCATTCCCCGCTCTGAGTGTAGGTCATCTCTGTATGTGTACGACTGAAAGAAAAACTAACGCAGGAAAGTGTAAACCGTAACTTAATCCAGAGTACTACTTTTACCTCATAAAAATGTGATTTATACAAAGATGTGATTTATACAAAAATGTGATTTATACTTAGATGAATTTTCTTCAAGTACGGTATAAAGAAGGGCGACAATGTTTTACTTCTACGTTTCCTTGAAAACTGTGTGGCTTTGCTCTATTCTGATGCTTCCCTTAGGGCTTTGTCCCTGGGCTACTAGGAACGTCGCACGGCGCCCTGCAGTTCATGGCATACGAGCTATTAAAGCTGAAGTACAACCAGCATCTCCAGCGGCTGCCGGAAGCCCAGCTGGTAAGAGGGCTCTTGGGGTGACAGCGCGACACACCCCGCGGCACTTACTGGGGGCGCTGCTGTGCGCGCCTGTCCTGATGGTATTTACCAGCACTGCTGCTGGCTTAACTTCTGTTTAAATATTTTATAAGCTGGTGGCAACAGATGAAACAGAACCCCATAATCACACAGAACTTGCATTAAAGGAGGGGAAATATTGCCAGGGGTTTAGCTCAGTGGCGTAAGTGCCTGCTTGGCAAACGCGAGGTTGTAAGTTCAATCCCCGGCACACAAAAAAGTTAGTTGAAGGAGGGGAAATACTACGTCATTTGTTTATGTTTTAAAGAAATGCTGTCTACAGAAAGCCATGTTTTTGTTGTCTCTTTAGAGCACAGCTGAATACATATCTGTTGCAGCACTTTCCAAAATATTTGCCGTGGCAGCCACGTACCCTTACCAGGTGGTGAGGGCCCGGCTCCAGGATCAGCACATGTCTTACAGCGGGGTGGTGGACGTGATCGCCAGGACGTGGAGGTGAGTGCACGGCTGGAGGTGCTCTGCGAACCTGCCAGTGGTCTCCACTTGATTTCTTCACTGTAAAATGAAGACTATTTGGAATGACAGGATTGGTTGTTGTAAAAATAAAGTGAAAGTTAGACATGGTATTGTAGGCCTGTAATCGCTGCTACTTACCAGAGGAGGCAGAGACAGGAGGATCAGAAGTCAGAGGCCAGCCTGGGCAATTTAATGTGACCTCATCCCCAAAAACATATAAAAGGAGACCTGTGAAAGTGCCTTGAACCTGTGTGACATGTTTCTAGGCCCTGTTCCCTGCTCTATGCCAGGGTGAACTATGGCACGTGTACCAAAGCAAGCCGTTTATATCACTGAAGTCCTGTTCTAGGTACTGGAAAGATAATGTCTTAGCTCGCGTGTGCTACCTCTGAGTGTTGGGCAGCATTTACACAAGCCATGAGCTTTTTAATGCCAGCGTGAGATCAGTTAAACCTCCTGCGTGTTTACTCATTTAAAAGCATTGAAAGCTGCTAATTTAAAACACGTGCCAGTTTGTTTTGCGCCATCTCCACCTTCTTCCTCAGGCTTCCTAGATGGCTCAGAAACTGCATCCTTCAGTGCACGGGGCGCGAGCTGTGCTGCTTGCTCCATGCCCTGTGTCAGGGAGAATCTGTGTTTTCAGGCTATTTAAGAAATTAAGCATGTATGTATTTTTCCTTCTAAAGGAAAGAAGGCATCAGAGGATTTTACAAAGGAATTGCTCCCAATTTGATCAGAGTGACTCCAGCCTGCTGTATTACCTTTGTGGTCTATGAAAATGTCTTACATTTCCTACTTGACCTTCAAGAAAAGAAAGTAAGGTAAAAGAAGATAATTCCAGTACCTCTGCCCAAGGCGGTAGGCAACAAGCTCCTTCGAGACCTAAAGCTCAAGACGAATGCTGCACAGCACACGGCCCATAGTCAGACTTGGTCTGCAGTGTTAGCAGTCAGGAGCTGCTGAGCTTCTCCACCTGTGTGAGGCTTGGCTGCCTCTGCCTCTGGTAGGGGGCACCACGCAATGCCCAAGCCAGCAGCAAGTCCATTTCACGTCCATCTTTCGAGCAGAAACTGCAGCCTTCGTAAGTGGGTTATAGGGATCCGCTGCTTTTTTGACCTCTTTGCCTGGATTGACTTTAAAATTGACTTTGTGCTATAGCAAGCAGATGGCTTCTCCGGATAATGGCCAGTGACCTGCAGGGCGAGGTGTCACCCAGAGTGGACGGGTGAGAAGGTGTGTGCAGAAACGCACCTCAGCCCAGCTGAGCTGGACGGTGCTCACCGCAGACCTCTGAGATGTACCACCTGATAATGGTTACCATTCCATCCCTGACTTCTTAGAGCCCATCCACAGTTTAAAGTTACTCCTCATTTTGGCATAATAATGTAATGTAAATTTAAAAGTAATGTAAATTTAAATAGTAATGTAAATTTAAAATTTACAACATCTGATCTTCGCAGATTGAGCAGTGTCAGCCTTTGTTTAGGGGACACAGCTACAAATTACTTACCAGAAATGCCCAGGAGATCAGCGTCTCCTCTGCAGATGTGGAATGTTTGAAGTGTGTTAACTGGAAATGAGAACCTCCCTGAATTTTTGAATTTATGGGTCCAGATCCCAAATAAATGATTAATTTACATTGGTTATTCAAATTCAGGTGGAAATACAAATTATTAATGGTCATGATTGAGTTTGCATAAATGACTCATTACAGATGTTTATATAAAAGTGAGCCACATGTGGTGGTACATGCCTGGAATGGCAGCACTCCACGGAGGCGAGGCAGGAGTTTGAAATCCAAATTCAAGCCCAGCCCAGGAAAGCTTAACATTCAAAAAAAAGGACTACAGATTATGTAGAGCCGTAGGGAGATCCTGCATTCACCCCAGAACCACACCAAAACAGCAGAGTGACACTGGTATCACTTTATCAGAAACACCTATGAGCACTGTTGATTTTTATTTGTTGTAAATGAAACACTGAGGTTTTCAAAACCACATTTAAATGGCTTTTTGAAAACACGTTTATTTTTTATATATTAGAAATGGAATTGTTTTAAAAATAAAAATAAGCTGACTTAAGGACCCAATTGTATTTAATAGCTTGTAACATGAACAGGAATATTTTATAAGTTAAGTGTGATGTATTTTTTTCATGATTCTGGATTCTATTTCAATTCATATGCACTGCTGATATTAGTCCTTAAGTAGAAAGATAAGCCACTTTCCCTGAAAATAACTATATTTCCCCAAACATAAAACCAAGTTTTTGTTTTTGTTTTTTTTTTTTTTTTGTCTTTTTCCTTTTTATCGGTACCAGGGATCGAACTCACGACTGCCTGCTTGCAAGGCAGGTGCTTATGTCACCGAGCTAAATCCCCAGCCTCTTTCTTATAAAACCAAGTCTTACATTTTTTGCTTCAAACGAAGCAGTAAGACTTATTTTCAGGGGATATCTTATTTTTTTAACAATCTGCATTCATGTAAAAACTAATTTATTCGGGGGCTGGGGGTTTAGCTCAGCGGCGTAAGCCCCTGCCTTGCAAGCAGGCAGTCGTGAGTTCGATCCCTGGTACCGATAAAAAGGAAAAAAGACCAAAAAAAAAAAAAAATTTATTCATGTGCAGAGATCTACAGTTATTCAAATACTGTCCAGTTGCCTTCTGTAACAGCATCATGGCTGCCTCATTTTCTGGAACAAGGTTGCCAGGCTCCTATTACACATTTCCTGCCCCAGAGCTGAAATTACTTGTGCTTGAATCTAAATGTCCCCTAAGGACATTCAGTGGCTTGCTTTTTAGAAGGTGGATCATTGAGCCAGTAGGTTAATTGATTTATCAGTAATCTGTTGATGGGTTCATAGCCTGATGAATTATTGAGGTGCTGGAGACTGAGGCAGTGGGGCCTACACTGCCTACTTGGGGGAGGTAGGTCCTGGGGCCTGTGTGACCTTGGGAGCTGTGGAGTTGACACCGGCTGCTTCCCCGATGGCTCTTCTCTGCCATGAGGCAAGTCTCTCCGCTCCCCACCATGATACTCTGCTGACCACGGTGATGCCCAGGAGCAACAAAGCCAGTGGACCGTGAATTGAAACCTCTGCAACTGTGAGCCCAAAAACCTTGCTAAGTTACACTGTTTCTCAGGTCTCTTGTCACAGCCTCAAGTAGCTAACACACCCACTGATGTGTCAGGGTTCCTTTACCTCCTGTTAGCAGGAAATAGTGTGCAGAGATCACACCCGGGCTTCACTGGAGTGGGCACTGTTCCCAGGCCTTTTCTGTAAGCAAAGCCAGGAAACTCTGTCCTTACTGTTCTCTAGCTGTGTTGAAGATAAAGCCTTCATGAGCTCACACTGGATCCCGGCGTCTTCTTAACTTCATCAGTCTGCTCCCGTCCAGGCCGCAAGAATTCTTCTTTTGATCTCTCCAGCATTTTCATTTTACATATGTCTGATCCTTTCTACCACGTGAGCCATTTCAGGCCAACTCCATTTTTTTTTTTTTTTAACTCTTTGTTAATGCGGATAAAATTCTTTCAAAAGCCCTCATATATTTCCTGAGACCTAAACACCTTTTTTCTTTATATCCCTCAAGATATAGAACCACGACACACACCTGTACTAAAAAGTTACGTATCAATTGTTAAAGGAAAAAATACAAAATTAGATTTATATTCAACCTTTCAGATACAAAGTATTAGCTCCGATTTTAGTAGCAAGTAGGTTAAAGACATTAAAGTTGTTTGAAATATGTTTTATTTAACAAGTGTAAAACAACTATACATTTACAACTTGTACAAAGGCTGCTAACTTTTTTATATTTGTAAAATGCTACACCAAGCAAACAGGAAAAATTAAGCACCACAAAATTCCCAACTGTAGGTTCAGGAATGAGAACGTGAAGAAGGTCTACTGATTGGCTGAACTCCAGAAGCCGGTTTTGATTGAAGTAAAACGGCTGATACCAGATTTCAAAGCAGTGCAAGCTCACACTTTGGTCTGTAAACATGGCTAGTGTTTTTCATTTAGATGTATATGTAAAATAATCTTCAAATGCTATTTCACAATTTAAAAAGGAGGTAGGGAATGAAACATGAAAGGGTTTATTTGGGGAGTTCTTCAATAATGATGCGCGACACTGAATTCCAGCCTGTGGAAGCGTCTCCCTTGGGGTAATCGGAACAGGTCCCGACCCAGATGGCAACATCCACGAGGCCAGCACCAATCCCTTCACAGAGTCCTTCCACTGTAAGACACAGACAGTCCCATCTTTAGGACAGAGAGCACAGCTGCTGAGTGCACCAGGTGACAACTGTTTACTGTAAGGCTAGTTAAGCTTTCTAATACACAATACAAGTGCTTTTCTCAGTTGGTACGTAAATATTTTAAAAGGTGCTAACAACTTTAAAAAGATGCTGTTCTATAATGTAAGCTTAACAGGCACTTAAGGTTTCAACCATAAAGCTGTAATTTGTTTAGTTACAGAGATGCCTAAAACCAAAAAGCAGTTTATTTGTCTACACAGAGAAAGCCCCCATTTTCCAAAGCCAAGACCTGCCAACTTTTTGGGAGGCCTGACCCAAGAGATGGAAGGCTTTCACACACAGCTCTTCCTGCCACTTACCTGTAAGCTCGATGCCATTCACACAGAAGAAAGGACGGCTATAAAACCAGCCAGAAGAGAGTCCAGCAGAGTGATCCCAGCTCTTCCATTAGGGACCTCATTTTACACAGAATGTCCTCTGAGTAAAAAATCAAAACCTAGAAACCTCTGCTTTTCTTCTCCGTACTGATGCTTTTGTTTTGTTTTGTTTTGTTTTTTGTTTTTATCGGTGCCAGGGATCGAACTACGACTGCCTGCTTGCAAGGCAGGCGCTTATGCTGCTGAGCTAAATCCGCAGCCCCCGCACTGATGCTTTATAATTATGCCTCTGCACACCCTCTAAATTTTCACATACTAATGTGCAACTGGCATTCCATTCTCTCTAGGGTCTTCACTAATATGTTTTGTTGCCTGTGATGTCTGGGGAGTCAAGGAGACTGTAGGCTGGCAGAGTCCTTAAGAAAATCCTGGCACAGGTAGGGTGGTGCCTGGTTTGACTTCCTGTGGTTGAGTTTGGTGCATCCTAGCTGTTAGGGTTTGTGTCTAGATGTCCCCCCAATGCATCAGTCATAGGACTTTTTCAGAGATGGCTGAATCCAGAGTGCATGACGCTGGGATCAGTCCGCTGATTGGCTTGTCACTGCCCTAATCCCGGTGTCTGGATAAGACAAAAGGGACAGAGTCTTATCTGTCCCCCTTGTTGCTTTTGCTGTCTTCTGCTTGCCATGAATTGTTGCCCCTCTGCCCCACCACCCTGCCTTGGAGCTAGCTGATTATGGACTGAAACCTCCACAAACTGAGTTAAATAAACCTTTCCTTCCTTTGTTTTGGGTGTTGGGTGTTTTGTCCCAGCAACAAGAGAAAAGTAAGTAAGACCCCAGCTGAGGCCCAAAGATGGTTTTCTAAAGCACTATGCTTCCGAGCTGTGTCACATCAATAAGCCTAGGGTTGTCCATCAGAACCCTGGACCTGGCTGTGGCTCAGGCCTCTCACCAGGCTGGGAGAACCAGGCAGTGGTGCACAGCTTCATCTGTCCTGGGGTGCTTAGTGCCATGTCATGAATATGTCCAGCAGTGCTCATGCGCCCCAAACCATTTATCACCCACAGCCTCTCATGTCAGACAAGCTTGGGTCCAGCAATCCACCCCACATGCGAAGATGTGATCACTGACCAAACAGTGTGTGTTGGATGAGGGAAAACATTAAACATTTCCTGGGATAACATAGTCAGTACCTTACTAAGCATCTAAAGTATGTAGGATTTAGAGTTCTTGGCCTGTTTTCCTCCCAGACACAGGTACTAGATGACAGGCAAAGTGCTGTCCTCCTCCAATATGCCAGCTGTCAGTGCCCTGCTTCCTTTCTCTCAACAAGGATTGAACGAGGGAAAGTGGTTTTGGAGGTAGTGTTAAGTCACCTTAAGTAAAAACTGTTAACAATAGATTACTTGTGACATTCTTCCCAACTGATCATATCAAATGTGTTTCTGCACTGCTTAGGAGATGCTTTGTTAAATAGTTTATAAGTCCATGCATATATAATCCACAGCCCTTGGGCCTAAAGGCTTACATTACAGTATGACGTTAGCACATCTTTAAAGTAGAAAGTAGTTGTCCATATCACCTGCTGATGACATCCGATATACCTAGACTTTTCTTAGAGACTGCCTGTCAGAAGGGAAGCACTTCTTCCTCTCCAGCACACGTTCACGAGGAAGCTTTTTAATTTGATCACAGAGAGCCCTGCTTTACAATAAGCAGGAGCTATGTGGAAAGTCCGGTTGCTCAGGCTGTACCCACAGCCTGAAATCACACCTGGGGACACCTTAACCATCCACAGGCGTTCTTCCACGTTCCCCAGCTGAGAATGGCAGGGATGCATCACTGATTTCCAACTCTGAGCACCTCAGATTCACCATGGGATCTTTCAAGAAGTAGCATATGCTAGATCGCTATACCTAGTAGCACATGCCTATAATTTCAGCACTTGGGAGACTGATGCACTAGGAGTGCCGTGAGTTTGAGGTGGGCCTGGGCTACATAATGAGTTCAAGACCAGCCTGGGGTACACAGCAAGACCCTGTCTCAAACATAAACATGCTCATAGACATTGAGTTAGTTGGTCAGACATGGGCACCCAGATATCTATAATTTTTTCTTCCTTAAAAGATCTGTACGTAATTCTGAAGTGCAGCCCCAGGTGAAGAGTCATGACTATGCATGGCCAACTTACCACAGAGCTTTTTCCCAACAGCTTAACAACCCAGCATGAAAGCAAGACTCAAAACCCATCTCAGATTCGGGGCACATGCCGCAGGGTCACTACCATACCTACCAGAGGAAGTGCGATGGATATTTATTGTTGAATTCAGCTCAGGGCTCCCTTGGTCCAAATAAATGATGGCCTCGATGGGGAGCGGACCCGCACACTCTGCGCCGTTGAACGTGAAGTACCAGCGCTGGCAGCACGCGCTCCTACACTTGAGCCGCAGTGAACCGCTGAATAGGACCCGCAGGGCACTGTGGGACCGCATCTTGGTGAAGGTGCACTCCTGTGACAGACAAGGAGGTGGCCGCCAGCGCGGCCCATGTTGGCTAAAAACAGCTTTGGCCTTACGCCATGAGTTTCACTGAACACCTTTATCCTCAAGCTATTTTCAAAGCTTAACTTTTGCAAGGAGATTCCCAACAAGACAGTTACAAGACTGTTATAAGAACTCTAGGAAAATCAGTTACAGCTTGCCTAGATTTTTTTTGGCCCCATTTAATACATCTTTTCATTTTACCAAAACCACCTGGTCACCAGTACTTCTGACCAACTACTACATTTTTCCTATTTAAAAAGCGTCAACTAAGTGCCAAGTATGTGGTTTATGGACAGACAGCAGCTCAGACAGCAGTGTCCCTGCCAGGCGCGCACGTTTACTCTGGCCCACGTTCTTGCAGAGCAGAGGTGCGTGTGTGTGTGTACAGGCAGGCTTTTGGTCTTCACCCCATGATACGATCGTGAGACCAACACACTTTTTCCTCTTTCTCTAATTGACTTTGCAATACCTGTGTTGTCTGTGGGCTCCTGTCACAGCATCTTTGGTTTGCTGTAGGCTCTGCTACTCATTCTGACCACAGCTAAAAGGAACTGCCAGAGGTATTAGTGATTTGTAGTCCACAAGGACAGCTTATAGGCAGGGCTGCAACTTCTGATACAATGTATCAATAACTATAAGCAGCCAGTCTATCCATGTCAGCTGTTTAATAACCAGGCAATATTTTTACAAAATGCTTTCTAAGAACAGATGAAAATTCAGTTTATCCCAAGCTGAGATGGTCTTGGGTTTCTTTCACAGATAATAAGATAGGAAGAGCCAGGCCAAGGAGCAGGAATAATGCACAGATTGCATCTGAAAACCTGAGTTTCACGAAAATAAGATCTCTTCTCCTGGCCGCAGTGGTCTCGGTGGTTAACCAGGAAGTACTTAAGTTCCAGACAGGGACCCAGGCATGGAATTGGTCACCGGTCACCAACAAAAGCAAGAGGCTTACAAATTACACCAACTCCTTCAAGCCCACTCACCGGCTGGACTTGCTGATTACCTTTAAAGCAATCCCCGTGTGACTGAATAATCAATCAGAATGCAGCACCAGACAGGCTAGTCTAAGCAACCCCCACCTGTGCCACCAAGTGCGGTGGAACAATTCCAACCCTCAGGTCAGCCTCTCCGGGGTCCCTTCACCTCTCCCTGCTTCTGCAGCTGTAGGCTGCGGCCACCGAGCAGAGCAACCACAAGCACTGCCGGACTCCCAGCTGTGGAAGACGCCTATCAGGCACAGGTTCCCGAAATGCCTTCCCACCTTTACGTCTGAAGTCTCAGCAGTTTCTGAGACCAACTTGAATTTAAATTCACCTTAAGACACGATTAGCAAGAAGCTTACCATCTGACTTGGGTCCCTATGGTCTCCTCTTTTTATTCTCACTTTTTTGCATTAAAAAGTTATTTTAGATATTATGGTTAAGATCTATTGTGATCTGTCTTAGAAATACATCTATGAAAAAGACTCAGAAAGGTTGCCATTTTTCTGTTACATTTGAGTTGAAAGTCACGTGGGGTTTTGTTTGTTTGTTGTTCGTCTTTTTGAGACAGGGTCTGGCCTTTGCAGTTCAGGGTGGCCTTGAGCTCTCTTTGTAGCCCAGGGTGGTCTCGAACTCGCAATTCCCTGCCTCGGCCTCCCAAATGCTGGGATTCCAGGAGAGCGCCACTACACCTGGCTCTATTTCTTACTTTGTAAGATAAGTTTTTTAGTTGAAGAAACAATGCAATCTCGCCTAAAAGTTAAACCTGAGATATGAAAACCCAGGAGCTCTGTATCAGCTTGGGTCCAGACTTGACTTACCGCGATTTTCCCGAGGTCGATGCCATAGTTCAGCGCGTTCCACGAACACTGCTTGTAGTTGGGGGTCCAGGCCTCCTCGAAGCTCTCCCGCAAGCACTCCCCCTTCTCTCCTTTGAAGCCGTCCCGGCCCGGGATCCCGGGGGTGCCGGGGACACCGTTGGCCCCCGGGCTGCCGTCGCGTCCGGGCACCCCCGCCGGGCCCTGCAGGCACGCGCCCAGCCCGTTGTACTGCGTGGGGGGAGGGGGCGTCACCAGGCGGCGGGGCGGGGCGGCGCGCACCTGCTCGCGTGGGCCCCAGAGCGCCTCCCACGCGCCCCTGGAGCACCGTTTTTTTTTTTTTAATGATTTTTTTTGTCTTTTTCGTTTTTCGTTTTTATCGGTACCAGGGATCGAACTCACGACTGCCTGCTTACAAGGCAGGCGCTTATGCCGCTGAGCTAAATCCCCAGCCCCTGGAGCACCGTTTAAAGTATCGTGATTTCCCAAGTAGTTTTACGTCACAAATTTCACACACACGCACATAAATCAAAGAGAACAAAATGTTTCCAAGGTGCCTGTTCCCCTGTACTGCTCTTTATTCGCACATCTGATTTTATAGACCTGTATTCCGGGGGACATACACTTTAGTATTCCGTATTTTTCTCCCAAGTTCACGTCTTGTAAAGGGACTCGGATTTCTTAATTTTACTTTTTTTTTTTTAGACTGAGTCTAGCTTTGTAGTTCAGGCCGGCCTTGAAGTCACTATGGAACTCAGGCTGGCTTTCACCTTTCGATGATCCTCCTGCCTCAGTTTCCTGAGTGCTAGGATGACAGATGTGTGCCACCGAACCCAGCTTCACAACTATACTTTTTGTAGTCCACCATTCACTCTAACTGGCAGCTATCGTTCCATGTTTGGGCATATATTTGAAGTGGGAAGGTAGAAACTTTTGGTGTATTGTTTTTGTGTCCCGTCCCTCACCCCACCCTGCACTGTGATTTCCCTCAGGGCAACAGGCTGCAGAGCTGGTTTCCTATATTATCAATTATTCTCAATTGGAGACATTTGTGTCCCCCGGGACACCCGTGGCAGTGTGGAGAAATGCTCCAGGCTGTCACACTTGGGTGGGGCGTTGCCACTGGAGTCCAGGGAGAGGGGGCCAGGAGTGCCACGGCTGCGTCTGCGTGCAGCTCTGCATCTCCAGACCACAGACGTCACTGTCGGGGTTCTCAGCACAGATTTGCCGCTGTCCCCTAAAAGAGGCCAGCCCAAAGCCTGCTCAGTCCTGTGATTGAAAATCCTCACGAAGCGCTGTCTCCTCTGTGTCCACCAGGGGGCAGAACCCGGGGACGCTTGAAAGGGAGGCTTTGAAAACCCTGTACAAAGAAGCGGCTTCATGGCACCAGTGGAGCCCTGCTTAATGACTATGTAGACTTTTCCTGTCACCAAGGCCACATCCAATCCACTGGGTGACCCAAGCCTAGCCTGAGCGACATTTGTGGGAGACCACAGGTACAGTACTGCAAATCCTCGGAGAGAAAAATTGCTAGCTTTGAGGGCAAAGGAGCCTTTTGCGTGCCATACCTGCACATTCCTAAAATGCAGAGTTTGCATAAACTACCTCTTTGGGTACGGTTTTAACCATTTAGAGCCTTAAAATAGAACTGTGCCCTGGACACTGGCAGCAGCACACAGCCCGTCACCGAAGTGCGCTGTGGGGCAGGCAGGCGCTCTCGTGCGGCTTGGAACGGCTGTGCCCCACTCCCGGGTCAGGCGTGGCTCGGAAAGGCAGCGCGACAGATCCGCAAACGTGACACCCTCTCCGCCCCGCCGAGTCTCGGCACGCGTGGCAGCGCGGTCCTGGGTGCAAAGCGCCCCCTGGACCTCAGCCACGACGACCTGCGCGACCGTGTCCTCGGCGGCGTGGGGTCCAAACGGCGCGAACCGAGAGCGCCGCCGCCTCCCTCCCGGTCCTGCAGCCTTGGATCCGAACCACGATGCCCGGTCGCGTTCCAAGACTGACCGCAGCCTCTGGTCCGCAGCTGGACAGTCTCCCCTCCCCCAACCCCAGGACCGGTCGGCCCGGCCGGGGATAGCGGGTGCTCCCCAGCCCCCAACCCGTGCACCCCGCGGCGCCCCCGACCCGGGCCCGGACTCACTAGGTCCACCACCTCTCGCTGCCGGATCTGCGCCTTCGCCTTAGCCCTGGGGACCTCAGAGGCGCCCGACGGCGCACGCGGGAGCAACAGCAGCAGGAGTAGCAGCGGCAGCGGCAGCGGCGGGGCGCACAGGGCCGCAGGCTGTGGGGGGCGCATGGCGGGGACCCGGGGCGCGAGGCGTTGACGCTGCAGCGGTCAGAGCAGGTCCTCGCGGTTCCCGCCTGGACCCCGAGTCCGGCGGTGGGTGGAGCCCCAGACCCCGCCCATCGGGGCGGAGCTCGGCGGGACCCCCTCCCGGGACCCCTGGCTGCGCGGGGCGGGATCGGTGCAGGAGCAGCGGCCCTGGAAGGTAGCTGTCGGGGTCCGCAGGGAGGCGCAGGCCTGTGCACCCAGGCCGCACCGGGATTGGAGGGTGCTGCGCTCGCCCGGCTCTCGGAGGGGTAAACTGAGCTGCGGGGGGAACAGCCCGCATGCAGAGGGAGAGGCGCCCTCCTGCGGGTCCACTCCTGGCCTTGGGTGGATGCTGTCCCTCCAACCCCTTATCCCATTTGCCTGTCCTCTCGGGACCGAGCGCCGCAGAGACAGACGCCCTCGGGCAGGAGCTCCCTCGCCGGCCACGCGGCTGCAGTGGCGCCCGCGAATCCGCGAGGGCTGAGCCGGGACTGTGCGTCATCTGCCAGCCGGGCAGAGGATGAAGAGGCAGGACCTTTTGTTAAAAAAAAAAAAGAATTTCAAAGGCGCCCGCAGAGGCCCCGCGAGGGTGGGGTCCATCTCAGTGCCCGGCCGGCCGCAGTCACCGCCCAGTGCCCTCAACCCTCCCGCAGTTGAAGCACCCTGGCCGCACAGCCAGGGACCGGAGGAGGACAGGAGCCCCAGAGTCGCCCTCCAGCCAGGTCCAGAGGCTGCTGCGGCGGCCACCTGGTCAGATTAGGGGTTCCCCTGCAAGCTGGGGATTGAACCTGGGGCTTTTACACCGGGCTGCGTTCCCAGACTGTTTTATGTTTTATTTTTTATTTTGAGTCAGAGCCTTGCAAAATCATTCAGTTATCCAAGCTGAACTCAGACCTGCCTCAGCCTCCCAGAATGCCTGGCATGCCAATGTGAATACCACGCCTGGCTCTCTGTTAAACCACAAATTCATGGAATTAACCTGATTACATTGTAAAATAAGTAAGCTGGATAGCATTACCTATATTTAAAGATATTATATAATGAAGTATAAATGCTTTTCAGCATACAGAGGGCTCTGCCATATCCTGTCTCCGAGGTCCTAAAATCAGTACCAAAATCCTTCCACTCTGGGCCTTGATTGCCTCCCCTGCACTTTTATATCTGTGGGTCCTCCGAGACACCGGCCTCCTCCTCTGCAAGTCGCCAACTCAGCCCGCTGAGACGTTGGTTTAATCTGTAGGTTTACAGATTTCATTCCTATTAGAGATTATGAATTAATTCTGGATCCTGGGTACTATTGCCACAGATGAACAAATGAACCTTTTGTGGATTGTAATTCTGAAGCCCAACTGTAGGAATAAATCTTGGAACAACTCATGATATGTTTTAGTTGAATACATGACACATTTAAGAAAATATATTAGATTTTTAATATGAATTTTAAATGAATAACAGCATCGAATCAAGACTCACAGTTTGAGGGCTGGGGATTTAGCTCAGTGGCATAAGCTTCTGCCTTGCAAGCAGGTGGTCGTGAGTTCGAGCCCTGGTACAAAAAAAAAAAAAAACTTACAGGCTCATAGTTTGAAATGTTTAATAAAACCTAGTCACTACATTTATAAGCTTGATCCTTAGCAGTGCTGAGTACTTTGAAAGATTTTTATTAGATTTTTTAAAAATTGCCCTGCGAGGTATTTAGTGTTTGAGAAAATAGGGTATATTCAGTTTGTAAATGTAGCTGAAAATGTGTAAAATCTTTTAAATATATGTTAAACCTAAAGCTTTGATGTTGAGCATAAATTTTAAGAAAAACTTGATTTTCAAATGTAAATGCTTAAGTAACCTTTTAGGTAAAAGTAGCTGCAAATATTCCCCATGCGTGTACAGTGCCCACTCCCAGACAGACAGACAAAAAACTGTATTGAAGCAAATTAGGACGGGAAGCGAGAGGGCTGATGTGTTCTAGCGCAATGCTGCTGCTCTTTGGCAGGACAGAACTGAAGGCTTTTAGAATTGGCAAGAATTCTAGAAATTATCTGATGCAATCTGTGTATTTTACGAGTGAGACTCCTCGTTAAAGGCAACCCAGAAAGCACAAAGAATTTCCAGAGATCACACAGCACCCAAGTGTCAAGCAGAGCCCCACTGCACCCTGAATTCTTAGGTCAGGGTTAGTAGTAGTGAACACTTCCTGAGGGGAGTCTAGCCTTCCACTGCCTTGCTGGTGGATGAGGCAAGACTCAAGGTTTAGACTTAGTTGTCATAAAAGGGACAGGACAGGGGGACCCGAAGGAAAGCTAGGAGCAGCCAGGCCGCCCAGCAGGGTAGGAAGCTGCCTTTCTCAGGATGCTGGGCTGGGCCTATCTCGAGCCTCCTGTGATGGTCTGATTTCCATCGCTGGCTTTGTTCTCCAGGACCACCCAGTGGCAAGTTCACTTCCTGTCCCCTGGTGACAGTGCACAGAGGGACAGTTGTAACACAGGAAGTCAAGAGCTGCACACTTTCATTCACATCCCTCCCTGCTGCTGGGTCCGTGGGTCCATTCATCACGCAAGTGTTCATTGAGATCAATTCTAGGCTCCAACTTGTGGATAAACAGCAAAGATAAATATCCCAAGCCTCGCAGAGCCCAAAATTCAGTCCGTTGAACACACGTGATCTGTAACTATAAAGTACCTTAGGCGACAATGTCTATGGAAAATGCAGAAGAGGTAAGAGGCCAAAGGTGGTAGTGGCAGCGTGAAGAAGCCAGCAACCGAGAGCCCGTGGTGCCTCCGGCTGACCCTCGGACTCTCTCTGGACAGTCACATGGCCTCAGATGTGACAGCTGGGCACAGCAAGCAATGTCCAGGAAAAAGATTAGCTGCAGTCGCTTCCTGTCTTTGAGAATTTTAGGAGCAAAGGACCTTCTCTTGAGTCACCCAGTGGACCCTGACTCACCCTGAGTCAGAGAGACCACAGCAGTTTCCAAGTGCATCCTTACCCAAGGGAAGTGTTGGCTTACATGGCATCTGGGTCCATTTTCTGTTGCGTTAGCAAAATACCAAGATAGGGTAGTTTATGAGGAGCAGAAGCTCATTCATGGTTCTGGAGGGGAAATCCCAGTGTGGCTGCCCAACATCTGGAGGGGCCTCTGGAGATATCTGAATGTTGAGGTCACTAACATCACTGGGGGCACCGCCTTTGTGCTCCCGAGTTGCACCCCACAGCTGTCCCAGTGCCGCTGGACAGGAATCCCAGAATCAGGTTTTCTGGACACGACTTTGAGCACATGGGGCCGGTCACGTGACATGGAGCAGACTTCGGGAATTTTACTAAATAGATTATTTTCAGCTTGTCAGGGCTGCCGCGACGAAATGCCATCCTATGCACGGCTCCTTTCTTGAGGGTAGATTTCGCTCCTGGAAGTGGACCAGTACAGCGTTGAAGACGAGCTGGCTGCAACAGGTAATGATCACATTCGTGGTAGAAAGTGGGCACCTGGGCAAGACACGTCCTCTCCTTCCCTTCCTGCCTCTCTCAGTCCGCTTCGCTTTTGCAGAACTTCTGCCCCTGAGTTTCCTTATTCTGCCCTTTATTTATATTCGCGTTTCTCACACAGGAGAAACCTTGTGATCTTTAAATCTGTGTTTCTGATTTACTTTCCATCAGATGATGGTCTCCTGGTACATTGTCCTACAAATGACTCAGGTCTGGAGGACGAATGTCATTAAGGGTCTTGGTGCACAATCCCAAGCTGTTTTCTGGAAATCCAATGACAAGCCCGCATACTGGGTGACACTGTATGCAGCTCAGCTCCCGACACTCGCCAGCCTTCAAGGTCACCATAGGAAAGCGCCAGCCACTTTCACAGCTGACCTGTCGCTGAGCGATTTGAAGGCCTCTGGCTATTTCCACATCTTCTGGCATTCTGGCCTGGCAGACGCCATCTGGGGCCAGGGGACAGGAAGAGAGCCAATCTCTGTGTTTTGTTTTAATGCATCTCTATTGTGAAAAACAGTGAAATTGACAACTTTAAGACATCTCATCTTTCCTCTTTGGGAGGTCACAGGTCTTCTTGCCTTTCACATCCTCTTTTATGCATCAGTAAAGTTTTATGCTTTCTAGGTTTAAGTTTTATGTATTTCTGACTGTGGATATTATGCATTTTCCTACGTATAGCAAGTGAACCCTCTCCCCACATATCATATAACATTCATAGCTCAGCCTGGGCTTGAGCTCACTATGTAGGGCAGGCTGGCCTCAAACTGTCATCGATTCTCTTGCCTCAGCCTCCAGGGTGCTGAGATTACAGGCATGCGTCACTGCACCCCACTGTATCTCTACTGCTTTGCGAGAAATTACACTGAACTCTGTGACACGTCTGTAACGCAGACGTTGGTGGGTGGCAATTCCGCGCCCTGCCACATCCTCTGGCCTGAGGCTGCCTCGGGCTCCGGCTCCTCAGTCATGGCTGTCCCAGTAAGGACCCTGCCCTTCCTACTTCCTGGGGTTTCTGGAACAGTCGATTTCCTGTTTCTCACTGTTGGGCTGAGGACATTCTCAGGTGCCCAGTTCGCCTCCACAGGGCATCCCTTGTGTCTGATGGCTGATCTGGGGAGGGTGCGGTCCCTTTGGTGTTGTCACTGCTGGGGACCAGAGTCCAGGGCCTCCCACACCCAGGGGAGGGCCGCTTTGTCGAGCAGTCCCCAGCCCCGCCGTCCCTTCTTAAGGACTCGCAATGAAGTCAGAGCCACCTGGGCCAACCTCTTTTTGATTTGGTCAAAGCCCACTCATTAGGAGCCTTAACTGCACTTGAAACATCTCATCTGCTACTAGAATAAAACAGCCGTGCAGTGACACAAATTGTAGTCACACGTCCACTGACCCTCACGGTGGGAATCATTCAGAGCTTGTACCTAAGGGCTGGGAATCTTGGGGGCAATTTCAGAATCCTGCCTACTAGCTAGGCATGGTGTACACACCTGTAATCCCAGCATGCTGGGAGGCTGAGGCAGGAGGAGAGAAAATTTGAGCCCAGCCTGGGTAACTTAATAACTCAGGAAGACCCTGTCTCAAAATAAAAAATAAAAAACAAAAGAGTTGGAGATGTAGCTCAGTGTAAAGGCCCTGGTTTCATTCCCAGTACACAAAACTCAAACATAAGAAAAAAAGCAAAAAAAAAAAAACTATTATACTATCAACTAGCTATGTTTGGAATCTTTTGATTTTCATCTCTTGCCTCCTTATAAGACAAAATATTATCAGCTTGCTGTAGAAAATCAAATGGCCAAAAAAATCTAATTATGTTATTGGCAGGAGCCAGCCATCAGTTTTATATGCCTTTTGCAAGGAAGCAAATCCAAACACTTTTCAGCTTTTAAAGTATTAGACAGGGTGACCACTTCTCTTGGGCTCAAGAGACGGGCTCAGAGATGAGGACATGGCATCAGTGTTCCCTGGGACTGTTTAGCAAAGCTGTTCTCGGCCAGTGCCTCTCTCTGCTGCTCTTGCTGGGCTGACAGAGCGTGACTACAGGCTGCTGGTGTGTGTTTCGTCTGTGACAGCAGAGAGCTTTTCCCATGAAATGGACAGAAGGAAAAACACCAAAATCCAAAGTATTCTTTGAATCCATCCGAGGGAAGTTGGCACTTTCCAGTTATGTGATTTAATAAATTCTTCTTATAACACACAAACTGGGTTTAAGTTTTAGATATTGGACCTTTATTTACATTTTCATGAATACAATACTTTCAAAGACAATAGATCAGTATTCACAAATAAGAACACTGAAATATACAGACCTTTCTTCAGTTCTGCTCAGCCTCTTGGTGAGCATGACCATGAATGAATGTATTACACAAGATCCATTCAAACTCCGCTCAGGAGACACCCCAAGGAGCCGAGATCAGTATGCTCCAGAGATGCCTGTGTGCCCACATTCACCGAGGCAGGGTTCACCACAGTCACGCTGTGGAGTCAGCCCTGGAGCACCAATAATAATACTTCAATATTTACACCCCAGGGAGCATTACTCAGCCCTAAAGAATGAAATTAGGTCACTTACAGGAAAAGGAAGGAACTGGAGATCAAAATAAAGCAGACTCACAGAGACAAGGTCGTATGTTTTCTTTAATGCATGGAATCTTGAAAGCAAAAGGGAGACCTACGCTAGAGGAGGAGGCTGGGGCGAAAAGGGAAGAAGCAATCAGGAAGTGGATGTGATCACAGTGCGTTCTGTGATGTGTGGAAAAGCCAACGTGGAACTAGCATGCTGGCGAGTGACTCTTCACTAACAAGAACAAGTAATGGGCAGAACTGATGTGATCTCAGGTTTCTCAAGTGAAGACAGTGACAGCACTTCCTTCCACGGGACGTGATGGAGTACAAGCCTGGGGTGCAGTGTGCTCCAGACACGCTGGCCACGGCCACCTTTGCTCTGAGAGCCAGGTGTTCCCTGTGGAATGGGAGAGGTCAGGAGTCAGTGATCAGCTGTGTCATTCAGGGTCCAGCCAGGACATAGAGATGCCCCCGAGTATTTGAAGACATCATTTCATGTACGAAATTGGCTCCCACCCCGAGGACAAGCTGCAGGAGAGCAGCCAGACAGTCCAAAGCAGGGAAGCCTGCAAACTGCTGCACCACTAGACCAGGAGACCAAGGGCGTCTGCTCACGGCTGGAACTGAGTTGGGCTTATCCACTGGGGGCCAGAATCTGACAGAGGTGGCCGCTGGCCTGGTGCTGGTGCATTCCTGCTGTCCCCCTACTCGGGAGGAGAGGCCGGGGATTATAAATTCGAGACCAGTTTGGGCAATTGTGTCCTAAAAATACTTTTTTTTTTAGAGGGCTGGGGATGCAGCTCAGTGGTACAGCACTTGCTTAGCTGCTCAAGACTGACACTCCCAGCTCACAATGGCCAGAGCCCTGAGCTCTTCAGAAATCCGAGTGGTGGAGTCTAAACCCCTTCGGACGCTGGCCAGAGTCTCCGGCCGGCAGTGACACTAAGTATCCTCTGCATGCTTTCTCTTTTCTTCCTGCTGTTTGTGCAGCTGGAAACTGATACCCTCTGAGGCTGAGGTCTGTGCGGCCTGGCAGGGCCACAGTTTGCTTGCTCTGAGTTATGGCTCACTTCCTGCTTTCAACCTGGGTAGTCTTTTATTTCCGGTCACATTTTCTTGCTCTTAGGAAGTTATCAGAAACTCTTTGCACGCGTGCGCGTGCGCACACACACACACACACACACACACACACACATTATGCCCTATGTGTGGAGGTTTTCTAATCAGCATCCTCTGAACAGACCCTGCATTGTGAGAATTCTGCAGAAAACTGCTCGCCAGGAACACTGGGTAGAAGATGGTTAAGATTAAAGGCATCCCCAGGCAGTTCAGATCTCACTCTGTGGCCTGTGTGTCTCTTCTGAGGTACAAAGAGCTGCCTGTGTTTGTAATAAAAGGAAGCCAAAGTAAGCAGGACTTTTGGAATTGCATCCCCAAATATTTAGGCTTACAAAATATGTCCGGTTTTCCAGTCTCTCCCCACAAATCTGTAACCCCGTCAGCTGGACCACAGTCTTATTTTTCTTCTTGAAACTAACTTTGTTGATATAAAGTCATAACAACCTCCCTCACTTGGCAAGGATTTTAACAAATGACTGAGCAAGTGAAATACAATTTTACGTCTCCCCAAACTGTCTAATCCAGAATCTAAAATGTGATAAAATGAGAATTAACCTGAGACTAAAGGAGAAAAGATCAAGACAAATGGATACAGAACAAGAACTGTTTAGCTAGGCCTGGTGATGTACGTCTGTAATCCTAGTATGCAGGAGGCTAAGGCAGGAGGATCACTGTGAATTTGAGACCAGCCTGGGCTACAAAGTAAGTTCAAGGCCAGCCTGGACTACATAGCGAGACCCTGCTCAAAAATATAATGAAACAAAACACAATAAGTGTACAAGGAAAACAAACAAAGCATGAAATAACTGTTGATTATGTAGAGAAGCTAATGGTTGGTTGTATCCCTTGCTAGTCACATTGTATAAAATTACAATTAAGTCCAGGTGAGTTACCCTCCCACAATTTGAAAGTAATCCCAGGCAATATTACTAGATACTTTGGCAGGGTTAGAGGCGTTCTCTCCTAACTCATGGCTAGATGAATTGTTCTTATGTATGAATGCTGTTGACCTTTTTTTTTTTTTTTAATGGCTTCTACAGAAAAGATGCTTCAAAACTCACATATGACCCAGAACTGTAACACAATGCGTCTGCTGCTTTCTCCACCAAAACCCAGAAAAGATGAGAGGGGTAGGTGGGGGTGGGGATGGGAAGGGGGCGCTGGGGTACTTGAGTTGGTGACCTGTAAAATGAAAACCACCGAATCATCTGCAGTGGAAAAACCGCTGTCGTGGACCAAGGAGAGGTGTTAAGAATTGTTGCTTATCCAGGAAGCAAGCACCCACCAATCTCCAGCATATGCAAATTTCCTTTGGATTTTAAGTGCCCTGGGATAAATGCTGCCGACACGTGTATGTGACTCCCATACTACTGTGACAGAGTGGCCTGGAGCTTGCCCCTTTCTGTGGCTTTGTCTGGTAACTGGAAATCTCTTCCTCCAATAGCTGGAGTGCTGGGCATGAGCCCTTATTTTAAAGCAGTTGCTCCCTTGAGCATCACGGGAAATGCTCTAGCCATCCAGCTCCTTGTACCCTTCCTTTTGAGTCACAAACTTCTAAAGGCCAGGCTGCCAGCTTGACAGCTGCTTATGGTGTCTGCAGGGACCACTGCTTCGGGGTGCCCTTCATTCAGGGGAAACAAACATCCCAGATTTTAGGTTTTATGGTTCAAGCAGATCTGAGCGTGGGGGTACACATCTGTAATCCCAGTACTTGGGAGACTGAGACAGGACAATCATTCTGAGTTCAAGGCCAGCCTGCCTTGGCTTGAACCAAGCCAAGACCCCGTCTCAAAAAAAAAAAAAAAAAAACAGGCTTAATGAAAGATGGTGGGCTCACCCTCTCCGCTGTGGCAGTCAGGCCTGCACCCTGAGAGCTCCATTGTGCACGTGTGAAAGAATGAGCGGGAGGACAGCAGACGTGGCCTTAGTGCCATGATGAGAGTATTTACAGGAGGAATCAGCGAGAGCAAGTGAACGTGAAGAGGATGAGGAGGTGTCGGGCGCGTGTACCAGCTCCTCGCAATGAAGGTGATCACGATGCACTCAAGCACGGACTAAGAAAATAAAAATACGTATACTGTTACTCCTTTCTGAGGTGTCTTGGGGACCCTAAGGTCCCCAGAATGCACTCAGAGCAGACACCTGTACCCCAGGCATAGAGGGAGGACCTCAGGGAGAGGCCAGACAGGAAGGAGGCACAGGAGGCCAGGTCCTCACTGGGCTCCCCCACCAGGCCAACTGGGTCCCCAAACACAGCAGAGCCTGGGCAGGGCGGTCGGGTCACCACAGAGGCCACGTCTCCTTTGGCGCCCTGCTGGAGCATCTGCGGGCTTCCAGGCTCCTTGTCCCAGAGCCCAGCACTACCAACTGAGCCCCTCCCTGACTGTGTGGTGACTGCCAGCTGCAGGGTCACCTGGTCACGTGGTGTTCTTCTACCTCTGGCCCCCAGCCTTCTTCCTGGCCGTCCCTAGCCGTGTCCCCCTCCAGAGTGACAAGATGCTGCCTGAGTTCTCTCCGCACATTCCCTCCCTCCTGGCTTGCATACCTGTTGCAGATACTCGTGGCTCTGCGGGGCTGCTGGGAAGCCCAGGAATATTTAGAATCTTCTAGCAAAGAAGGGCAGGTCTGAGCTGCCTGCTGCGTGGACCCCTGGGGTGTCAGCAGCACATTAAGAATCACAGCGTTGCTGAGCAGCTTCCTGTCCAGCACAGTTGGTTTGTGCAACTTCCCCCTGGTTATCGCAGCCCTGGGGCTCTTTCAGAAGCAGAGACACCCAGGCCAGGATAAAGCACCAGAGGAACTAAATCCCTGCATCCTGAGGAGGTATCGCCAAGTGCCGTGGCCCACGGCCATGACCCTGGGCCCCCCACTTTCTTCTACCAGAAGCTTCTCTGGTTCACAATGCTAATCAGACTGCTCAGCTCTGCTTGCAGACTCGCTGCTGAGCCCAGGGGTGGTTGCAGGGGAATGCACCCGCCTGCACAGGGCCCAATTTTATGGCTATTTATGCAGAGTCCACAGCTTTGCTGCCTGTCTCGCCTGCAGTGTTTGCTTCCTGCTGCCCCAGGGAGTCCAGGCCCAGTGGAATGCGGCTCCCTTCCCCCCCCCAGGGGCTTGTCCATCTGTGGAGCCACTGACTAAGGTGCCTGTGTACCCTGGAAAATGTCACCAGCTGGCTTCTCTGGGCAGCCACTTTTCTAAGCACGCGGTTAGCTCCAGACTGTTCTTCAGACAAAGCTCCATCCGCTGCCAGGGCACTTACGCTTCCCAAGGCCCCCAGTCCTGAGGTCTTCAGGCACTAAGAGCTGGCAGAAGCCCGACCGATACACATTTTGTTTCTAGGGCGCCATCAGCGAGCGACTGCTGCCCCACTTTTGCTTTGCAAGAAATGCTACTGGACTTCAGCTAAGCAGTTGTTTCCACAATGACCTTTATCCCAGCTATATGGCTGTGAGTGAGTGAGTGTGTGTGTGTGTGTGTGTGTGTGTGTGTGTGTTACTAGAGATGGAACCTGGCCTCACAGGTACAAGACAAGCACTCTTCCACTGAGCCACATCCCCAACCCTTTTTACATTTTGAGACAAGACCTCACTAAATTGTTCAGGCTGGGCTCAAACATTTGATGCTCCTCAGTTTCCTGAGTAGCTGGGATTACAGGCGTGTGACGCCATCCCCAGCAAGCTGCATAGTCTTTATTTCTGCACTGAGGAAGAAAGTGTGAGTCTGTGATAAACAGGATCCTCTGCCAATTTATGTACTAGAAAGCAGTGTAAGGTGACTGTCACAATCCTTCCCGCTGTAAGTCAACGTACTGGCAATGAGCGTGCAGTTTGTAAGGTCCCAGGTTGATGGTTCTCAGAATCCCTTAGTGGCTGCCTGCCTTATTTTTTATCACTTTCTGTTAAAATGGCTTTTTGTTTTGGTTTGTTTTGAGACAGAGTCTCACTATGTAATTCAGTGATCCTCCTGCCTTATCTTCCCGAGAGCTGCGCCCCCAGCCCTGCTAAATAGCTTTTAAACATGTACACAAAACACAGATGACCAAGGTGGCAGGAACTGTACCTGACATTTCTTTCTGTTTCTCACAGCACTTAAACTGTGCTGGCCACAGTGTGGCTGTTAAACAATGCTTGTTAGTTTTGTTTTGCTTTTTTTTTTTGAGACAGGGTCTCACTGTGTAGTTCAGGCTGGAGTCAGACTTGATCTTCCTGCCTCAGTTTCCCAAATGCTAGGATTATGAGTGTGGGCCACCACACCTGGTTTGGTTCTGGGAAAATTTTTTTTTTTTTTTAGGTAGGATCTCACGGTGTATATTACGCTGGCTTTATGTAGCCCAGGCAGGCCTTAAATTTGCAGGGAGTCTCCTGCCTCAGCCTCTTGAGTGCTAGGATTACAGGTATGTGGCAACAATGGATATGTTCTGAAGTGAAATCCTACCTCTGTCTCTGAATGCATTTGAGAGGATCTAGAACAGGCAATAAACCATGAGTCTGGCTGGGAAGTGGGCAACCTCTTGTGAAATCCTTCAGCAAAATGGAGTTAATAAATTGGCTCAACAGTAAGAAAAACTGATTCCAAAGTGGGCAAAAGACCTGAACAGACCCTCAGCAATGAGGGCACACAAGTGGCAAATAAGCACCTGAAAGAGACACCGAGCAGCACATCCCATAGGATTAAAGCTAAAAACAGCGAGCAGATGTCACTCACACGCGTGGGGATCACCAGAGCCCAAAGCACCAGAGCAGCCAGGGCTGGCCAGGGTGCAGGGCTGCAGGAACTGCCTGCTGCTGGCCAGGACACAGCCGCTTGGCCACTGGAGAAGAGGGCTGGGCTGTTCCTACAAAATCAAACAGGTTCTCAGCCCAGGACCCAGTGTGGCCCTCTGGTGTTCGCCCAGTGCAGTTGAAAAGTTACGTCCACACAAAACCTGCACACAGGCGCTTCCAGCAATCATTGAGAGTTGGATGCAGCCAGGCTCAATGCCGTTCTGCAGCTAAGGGAGCAGATAAAGTGTACGGGCCGCTAGATCTCAGACTAACTATCGTTTGGCAAAAAGAAAGGAGCCATCATCCCTGCAAAGACATGGAGGAAAAAATGCACAGCGCACAGGGAGAGAAGCTCATCTCCGCAGGCTCTGTGTGACACACACAGTCCACCTTGGCGGCATTCTGAAAGTGGCAGGGCCAATAGCGGACACCAGGACCCCTGTCCCCAGGGGCCGGGAAAGCAGGATGAGTGGGAAAGCACACGGCCTGTGAGGTGATGACTCCCGGGTGGGTAGTGTCCTGACGTCTTGTGCAAACCCATAGAATGCACAGCGATTCTAACACAGACCGCAGACCTCAGGGGGCCCTGATGTGCCAATGTCCTTCATCAGCGATGACAAGTGTGCTCCTGGGTGGGGATTTTGGTGCTGTGAGAAGCAGCATGTGTTTGGAAACCCAGGGATACAAAAAAAATCTCCACTTTGTCCATATAATTTTTCTGCGACCCTATAATTACTCTAAAAAATACAGTCTATATTTTAGAAAATGGGTGTGATGGATAGCGGAGCTTTGTTGAGCACTATGTCAACAAAGGCCCCAGAGCCCTGGGCCATCTTCAGAGCAAAGGCTCCTGAGGCTTGCCATGGCAGCTTCACACTGGCTGTGGCCAAACACAGAGCTGGTGTCCACATGAGGCCACAGGTACACAAGAAGCTTCCACCCTGGGGTCCAGGGCTCAGCATGTGACGTGGGGGAGCTACTCACTGGAGCAGCTGTCAGCCCCGTGCCTCCAGCAGAATTCTCGGGGACTTCGTGCTGAAGGCTGCTAGTCCTGGGGACATAAATCCCGCCTCCCCGACCAGGAAACCACGTTGCTACCCTGCTCTTCTGGGCTCCAGTGACCCCAGATGTCCCCACCCAACATCAGCGTCACCGTATCTTCTCCGTCCACTACTCATCTGCTGCACAGAAGAGCTGGGATCCAGGCAGCACAGAGAGGTGCCCACAGGGCTGGTGTTCACATCTTACATGACTTCAAGGCACGAGGTTGTCTCGTATGTACCTGACACCCTGGATCGGAGGGTATGGATCACTTCAAAGGGATGGGTTGTTTAATCAGTTAAGAAGCTTCTGACTGGGGTTGGGGATTTAGCTCAGCGGCATAAGCACCTGCCTTGCAAGCAGATGGTCATGAGTTTGATCCCCGGTACCGATAAAAAAGAAAAAGACAAAAAAAAAAAAAAAAAAAAAGAAGCTTCTGACAGCAATCAATAGACAGTCAACTCAGTGTGACTTAAACAGTAAGGACATTGATTTTCCCTTTTCCAAAATTCTGAAGGAGGGATGGATTCAGGATCAGTTAATTCAGGGACCAGCCACACTATCAGATTATTTCTCATGCTTACATTCTGTCCTTCTGGGGGTTTGTGGTTGCTTTTTCCTCAGCCATAATCTCACCTCTCTGGTGTCTCTGCAGTGTCTCTAGACAAAGATCATGGCTTGTGTTACCTCCTTGCTCAGAGGAAGTGTCTGTCCCAAAAGCCTCTGACATCTCCTGGCCAGAAGTGGGTCACATCTCTACCCCAAAATAGTCCTGAACCAGGGAAGCAAGATAACCATGATGATTCAGACGCATCAAAACAACCACTGGGCCAGTTTCCGTCTGTGTGAGAGAATCTCTGCCACTCCAGAGATGGAGGTGAGAGACAAACGGGATTTCTAGGGCACTCCTGGGACTCCTTTCCGCTGGCCACCAGGACTCCTTTTCTTCTCAGATTCTTGGACTTTGCATTAGAAGCAAGAAGCCAAGTTAGCCACAGGCTGCTGCAAAGATATCTTCCCTTCGTCTTGATGGATTCTTGGAACCCAGAAGGCCGAGGCCGACAGGGAGGTTCCCCTCAAGTCTGAACCCAGCAGCATGCATGGTTAGAAGCGGTTGGCCTAGAAGCCAGGAGTCAGGGCCAGTATGTCTAACTCAATCCCAATTTCTGCGGGACTGACAATAATCCCAGACCTCAGCACACCCAGAACGATGAGCTAAACACTTCATTCTTCAGTATATTAACTCATGTGGCTATGAGTCACCGTTAATCTGTTCAGCAGATACACTGTTTTCCAACCTGCCGATTCCCAGTAAGGGTTCTAATTACTTTGCTTAGCGATTTCCTCCAGCGTGCATACCACAGTCAGGCTCCGGGAGCAAGGCATCTTGAAATATTTATCTTGTCGTTCAGTACAGCACTGAAACGTGTCAGATATTCCTAAGATCCCTGTCCAGAGACAGAGATCATTTATCATAGTTAAACTCTAAACCAAGTTCCCGTAGGAGCCAGGCCCACTGTACACGCCACACATTAATGGCATACATAGAATGAACGAAAACACACATGTCCCAGAAATGAGCGTATCGCGTCTTTTACAAAACTGAGGGAAAAAGGAAATTTGTATCTGGTGAGCGCAGTACTTTTGAATGTTCTAGAATGATAATGAAGAAAATGAAATTCATTCAACTTACTGTCTTCATTTGTAGATATGTATTTTTAAAATATACCTTGATTATCAGAAGTATCAAATTAAACAAGTACTAGAAGTTTGTAAAGTCCACACGTATGTGCCCATAGTGAACATGAAACGCCTTTCTTCTGTGGTTGTTTACAGATCTTCCACGCAGGGCAGGAGTCCACCAGCGTCACCCTGAGACTTTTCTTTTTCTGCAGTCACAGTCCTTGGGGGTTTCCGTGTCATTGCCTCAAATGTCACTGCCTTCCAGGGAGCCGCAAATTCTTCAGCTCTTCCCCTCTTCTTCTTACCTTTTGTGCTCGTGGACTCGGTCTCCCCTTTGCTCTCCGCTGAGCAGTGATGTTTCCAATGATGTTTGGTCTTCCAGGGCCCAGGGGAGCCTCAAAGCCGGGTGGCACCCTCCTCCAGTTTTGGAGGCACAGTGAACCCTCCTGCCCTCTTTACCATGAGGCAGACCCTTTGGGGGTGCAGGTGAATCTCAGTGGCAGAGCAGTTGGCCAGCATGTGTGAGGTCAGGGTCCACCCCCAGCACTGCAAAGACATCCAGAACCCAACGCCTGTGGCAGGCTGGGTATCCGCAGGGTAACCTGGAC